TTCGAGATGTAGACCGAGGCAACATTTTGATGTTTCAAATAAAATGATTTATCTTTGCATCGCTCAAAGTGGGAGAATAGCTATTTATATCACTAACTTTACATATTTTAGAAGTTTACAATGAAAAGTTTTGTGATAATTAAAAAAAAATAAAAAGCTAGATCAAGAATTAAGTATGTAAGGGCTAACTTACTGCGGTACTTTACAAATGAGCTTTTAAAAAATCCCACTACAAGAGGCAACATAAACTGAAAATTACCTAGCTTAAGCATTTTCACACTAACCATGAAAGAGGATAAGGTATTTTGACTATTCTCTACGAATTAAGACAGATAAAATGAATCATGTGCAGTAGGCATGCTTGATGAGTCAGTGGATATGGTGCAATATTCATAAATCGTATGAAAATTAACTCCAGCTATTTTGATTTATTTCTAAGAGTTTAAATCGGAACCAAATGAGACAGGTATAATAACCTAAAACAATAATTTTAAAAATGAGCGAAAGCTCGAAGTGAATATCATTGATAAAGTCTTGAAAATTCTAAACGAAAGAGTAACAACAAGCAAATAACTGTCATGGGGTTGATAGACATAATTACATAAGGAATAAATATAAGTAAAACGTGTAATAATATTAGGATATGGCTGAGATCCGATAGATAAAATTTCTGTAACTAAGAGTACTAAGGAAAAAACAAATTAATATGAGGTGATATAAAACTGATATATAAGAACACTTAATACCATAAAAATAAATTTCGTTTATCTCATCACAAATATTCTTATTTCAACTATGCCCGTATAATCTCATTTAATCCATTCATATCTTATCTCATCTCATCTCATCTCATCATCTTTCCTTTACTTAATTTACTTGCTCCTTCCATTATTTATTTTCCTTTAATCAGTTCTCATCTTATTTTATTCATCGAATGCTGACTTCATTATGCCCCTACATTTAATGCAAGTTATTGTAAACATTTAGTACAATTAATAAAATAATGTCCGATATAATTACGCTAGTTCGAATAGCTCTGAAATTAGCAGTTTTCTTTTAATTAAATGCTTTTAAACCCGTTTTCGTCTATGTTTATATGAGGATTTTCGCATTGCTCTTCAATTAGAATGTTTATTCATTGCCTTTTGCAAATTTGGGCAGTATGATTCTTTGGATTACTCTAGTTAACAATTTAAGGAGAAACCGGATTTTTATTTTGCTTTTTTTAAAGTTTACTTGGATACATAATACAAAGTTTCTATACGTTCTAGTTTATATTAAAAAAGTTGTTTCCCGATTACGCACACAGTTTTAAGTAAGTTGATAAGGACCGGTTTGAATTTTTCATCTACATTGTATGATCATGATCAAATATGCCATTTAGATTTTGCTATATTAATATTTATCTATTCTATTCTGTCGAACTTACGCAGTCATGTTATCTAATCATCTGTCAGTGTCTTTATCTTCAAGCTGAGTTAGAAACCGAGGTTTAGAATGCAAATTCTAAAGCCTGAACACTTTGCTTTAAATCATTTACCAAGAAATCTATCTGTTCCATATTAAGGGCTTATAAGAACTTTTTTAGCTGTAGATAATTTTAATTATCTATTGGACACTCAGGCATATTTCAGACACCTGGATCCTTGACTATGTGGACGATGCCATCGCATGAAACGATTTGACTTAGTAATTGACCACGTTTAGTGCAGGGTACTCAATTTTGCAATTGCACCCTAGACCAAAGCGATCCTTAAACTAATTTGTCAGGTAAAAAACCGAATTGAAAAATTGCCAATTATTCGTTTACGTTGTTACACGGTTATATATATAATGTCCTAAGGAATTTATATGAGTAAATAAACTAAGGCATAAATAATCCGACTAACCCTGGCAAGAGAAGAAAGTGTGAGAATCCGATTGCCACCGACAATGTTTCCACTGGCTGTGAGGACGATCATCTCTTGTACGGACAGTCGCAACTTGAGGCGATGCAATGGGTTGCTGATGCCCAGTTCGCGCTGAATCTCAGCATCTGTCATTGAGGCAAGCATAGCGCCTGAGTGTACACTTGCCCGACAAGCAGCTACATACCATACGGGCATTCCAACCCATAACTGAGAGCATAAAATGAAAATAACTTGAGACAATCAGCTTTCAAATAGTGGTTGGGGCAAATGGAATATATTACGTTAAAATAGTTTTATTAATTTATTTGGGCTACTATCATAATCGTTAATGCAATTTTATTTCTAGTTGAAATTTATCTGTGATACTATGTCAAAAAATAAACTTATTAACGAAATCTGGCGATTATTAAATTTTAATTGTGATTTTAAATTACCAAAATTGCGAGTTCCCAACCTAAGACAGTCAATAGATTGATGCATAATTTTATTCATTATTCCATGTCACCCCCACATCCACTTCCTTATAGTTCTCAGGCCATATTGCTAAACAATCGGAATAGGATAGTATTATATATTTAATAGACATTGCAGTAACACTGAACATTTTATTTATGCTCCTATTAAGCTCACCAAAAATATATTATGCTGGCTGCAGGAATAAGCGTAGATATGATATATTAGTGGGCCAGGATAACTCTGAGGGTCTCTTGTTGGACTAAAGAAACGCAGTGATTAAATGCCGCGCTAGATTTTTTAGATTTAGATTTCATAAAATTCATGGAGAAATTCGAATAATTTTCTACCTCTCAAACATATGAGACATGCGTAAATAAAGCACGTTCTCTTTAACAAAGGTAGCAAAGTCATATTGTTGACTACAAGTTTTAATTCTTTGTCTAACTCTACGACCTACTTTCAACTCGTGTAAAGTTTTGCTACTTCTATATTTTTTCCCGTCGCATAGTATTTATGCGAACTTGTATCCTAATCTCGCTTACTTATAAATGATATAAATGGTTGTAATCAGAGATAGAGGCATCTTTCGATTTTCTCTGAATTGTTATATCCTATAATAACATAGCAATCATGTTAAATGACGATGAATAACTGAGGCAGGAAAAGATCATACAAAGAATTAAGTAAAAGATTTATTCAAAGCTAGGAAAAGCAAAATGTTGTGGCTCTTGGTATGGTCGCAGTCTCCTTTCGATTTATACAAGTGGGTTGACGTCGTTTTGGCAACTTGCTCTTGGCATCAGGGCGACTTAGTTGAACACACCTCGTCCGAAGTCCTCTGTCATAGTAGTTATCATAATTCCCAGCATCAAACCGTGGATTTGGTACATTCTCAGACGTTTCAAAAGCATCATAGTCAACATCATCAATGAATCCGGCCATTTTCAGCACCAAGCTACAACTCGTCAAAGAGACAAGTGAAGTCAATTTATCGACCAACTTTCCGACGAAATGGTTACACTATCAGCCCTCTTACTGTCCTGGCCCATCTACATACGCCTTCACCTCTGATCCCATTCCCGCCATGTCACAAGTTCTGACTTGTTTACACTCCACTCGTCAAAAGACGTGCCCTTTTTGGCAAGATTAGCGTGTCCTCATCACATCTGCTGTAAACCTAGGCGTCCACAGTCTCCTCAGGTACCATGGGTTTAATCAAGGAGACGATCCTCGAAGAAAATGTCTAGGATCTGCAAGCATGGGAAGCAGAGCCTAGACGAGCTGCTTAGTAAGGCGGCAGTTAATGTGCTTCTAGGGACTTGAGAAACAGCGCCTCGAGTAAAACATACACTGGGACTGAAAGCGAGTGAAATTGGTCAACCGGAAAGTTAAGAAACGAATCTACGGGACCATGAGTGAGATCCAGTTTGAGATCCCGATTCGGATCAGCCGATCGAAAGAGAAGCGACCAAGGTTTACAACAGATGTGATGAGGACACACTAAACTTACCAAATAGGGCACGTCTTTTGACGAGTGTAATGTAAAAAAGTCAGAACTTGTGACAGGGCGGGAATGGGATCAGAGGTGAAGGCGTATGTAGATGGGCCAGGACAGTAAGAGGGCTGATAGTGTAACCATTTCGTCGGAACGTTGGTCGAGGGATTGACTTCACTCGTCTCTTTGATGAGTTGTAGCCTAGTGCTGAAAATGGCAAGACTCATTGATGCTGTCGACTATGATGCCTGCAAAACGTCTGAAAATGTACCAAATACATGGTTCGATGCTGGGAATTATGATAATCAATATGATGGAGGACTTCGGACAAGGTGTGTTCAACTAAGTCGCCCTGACGCCAAGAGCAAGTTGCAATAACGACGTCAAGCCACTTCTAAAAGATTTATTTTTCTTCGCCTAGCTTGATCTGCTATAAAATTGACTCATTATCCTTAAAAAAAACTTACATATACTTTTTAAATACCGATGGCATTTCCATTCTCACTACTTTCGGTAAATCTATGCATGGACAAATTTGAAATGGAATTAGAGAAGTCATCATTGCAACTAATAGTTCCTATGCGATACCTGAATAACTACTTTACACTTTGATCGCATAATAAGGAAAATTTGAAGGAATTTCTCCATTTTTTTAACCAACTCGATGAACAAATTAGATGCACATAGGAAGTGGAGGAGAATGGGCTATTACCTTTGCTGTGTGGTAATGTCATTCTTTCCAAAGGAATACGCAGTAGAAAGCTATCATGAAAGCAATCACATGCTGGAATGATCCTCAAGTTTTAGTTTCATCACAACTACGGACTGAAGATCGATTATTGAGGAGTCTGATTAAAAGAAGCTTAAGACTAACGGACACTGAGTTCTGTGAGAAAGAGTTGGACAAACTGACTCTGATTTGCCTTAGTAACAGGTATCCAAGAGAATTTATAAAAACAAATGTCGGTTTCCTGAAGAAGGGATTTCAACTCGAATTTTTATGAAAATCTGATCAGGAATCGTTAGGACGGCAAGAATGAATATATCTGCCCTCTTGTGAACTGAGCCAAAAGGTGAGACCGTTACTAAGCGGATGGAATATAAAGGTGATAACAAGTAAAAAGTTAGCATTCTTCATCAGCCTGCCAGCACAACACGAGAAGACTGACATACTGGATCACTCGGGACTATATCATATATAATGTAGCAAATGTGATCAGAAGTATTTTGATGAAACCGGAAGAAAAATCAGCTAGCGAATCAAGGAACATGGATACGGAAAGATAGTGGAAGATATTGCAAAGATGGGACACAAAGTCGATTGGAAGTCGACCGAACGGCTAACTGCATATGGTGAAAAGATGAGAAAACATAAGGCCCGAGAGGCCATTAGTATTCTGACTGAAATAAATCTAATGAACAAGTTACTTGAATAAGGAAAAATTAGCTAAATCCCTGAATTTTGCCTAGGCAAATTCGAAGAAAATAGGCAAAAAGAAGTGGAGCAGATCAAGGAAAATTTTTCAACTGGAGGAAGAGAAATTGCAGATGAGGACACATGAAAATATTAAAAATAAAGAGGAGACGTCTACAGTGAGCCCAATCAAAGTAAGTTAAACAAGCATAACATTTAGGATTCTGCATACAAGAGATTAGGGAAATATGGATAGAAGCACGATAGATGCGGTGGAGACTAGAGCTAGTTGGCTAACAGTAGGCGGTTTCACCATAGACGTATTCCATGAAGCAAACGGTTGACCTTGAGAATTACTCGGTTGACATACAGCACGGCGATTAGGGGATCTGTATTGTCAAGTTTGTCTCCTATCCAGCTTGGGAATCCAGGTTGCGGATTGGGAAGAGGATTACAGACTAATATGACAGACTTAGATCAGCACTCACAGCACAAATATGGGAGGATATGAATAGGCCTCATGAAACTCGTTCACACAAGAGCCATGTTTAACCATTGTTAGAGGGACTTTCAGTTCGTATGAAAGTGAATGAAGAAGAAATTCGTTGGTCAATCTCACCAGATGAAGACGGATGAATCTCGTTGTACTGCAGCCGTTTGGCTTTTATACGATATTCGTTTTGACGCAGTCCACAAGACTTCCTCCCTCGTTTCGGGTGAAAACGTGCTGAGCTTTCGACCATCATATGATGGACATCATCAGAGCTGGGTCTCATTTCTGTAAAAGTCTCACGTTAACACTAGGCCAAGAACACTATCCGGCTCTATCTTAATTCTTATATACACTCAATTGAACCACACAAAAATTAAAAACCTAAATAGACAGATATAGGATGGTTTGGTTAATTATCTTTCATACTGGTCATGTTACTTTTGTGTATGTGTATTTGTGCGTGATAACATCTATATGTAATACGGTACCTTAATAAGAATTGTAAAAGGTTTAATCTCACGTTCGGATCCTCAAGACCTAATGACCCAAGAGAAAGCCTTGACTGAGACTGCGTAAGTCCGTAAGCAAGTATGGTTGTGATAATGATGTATAAGCTTGTAAGCATGAAAATCAAGTTACGAAACCACTTGTCCTAACCTTTCAGTCTAGGGTCATTAACGTGTGACTCCCCAGGGAAAGGCAAGACTGGGGTTGAGTGACATAACATGTCTGGTTTGGTTGATAAGCTTATTCTAACATTTTAGACGAATGTGAGTGAAATTGAAACCATCACTGAGCAGATAAATTGAGTCGCCAGACATGTCAGATTACACAACCCCAGTCATACCTTTCCTTGGAGTTAAACCTTAATGACCCTAGACTGAAAAGTTAGGACAAATGGTTTACAAGCTCATATTTCATTATCTCTACCATACTTGTTTACGGACCTACGCAGTCTAAGTCAAAGCTTTCTCTTGGGTCATTAGGTCTTGAGGATCAGAACCTAAGATTAAACCTTTGACAATTCTAATTTAGGTACCATATTACATATAGATGCTAAAACGTACAAATACACATACACAAAAGTAACTGGACCAGTAGGAAATATAAATAACCAAACTACTCTATATCGATCTATTTAGGTTTTTAATTTACTTGAATAGTGTTCTTGGCCTAGTCTTAACCTGTGACTCTTACAAGAATAACACCCAGCTCTGAGGATGTCCATCATATGATGGGCGAAAGCTCAGCACGTTTACCCCCAAAACGAGGGAGAAAGTCTTATGGACTGCGTCAAAACGAATATCCTATAAAAGCCAAACGGCTATTGTACAACAAGATTTATCCGTCCTCATCTGGTGAGATCGACCAACGAATCTCTTCTTTATTCACTTTCATACGAACTGAACGTCCCCGTAACAAAATTATCTCAAGAGATTCATCGAAACACAGTTTCTCTTCATATCTACAAGTTTAAATAAGCAAGTAAGAAATGGTGGTAGTGAAAGTGCTATTGGATAGATCAATACCACAGGAGAGAAGGATAGATACCACAACAGTTTAGCAGACAACTGGTCAAGGGATCGACTTCACTTCTCTCTTAGACGGATTGTAATGTGGTGCCAGGAATAGCAAGGCTCACTGACGATACTGACTCAGATACCGGTGAAACGTCTGGGAAACTACCACAGCCCCTGGTTGACTCTGGAAATTATCATGCATACTATGCTTTCCGAACAAGGGACGTCCATCTTGATCTTCCTGCCAATATGACCAAATTGTGAAAACAAGAACAAATAACTATTTGAATATATATATATATACTTTACTGGGTAGAAATAATTTACAGAAGCAGAGAAAGTTGACCTATAAAAGAGGAAAGCTTCTTCCAGAATTCATGTTGTAACTTATAAATCAAAATTAGAAGCCATAATTTGTACTTGTTAATGTGAGGATTATAGTTGGTCTTAAATATACAAATTAATTGCCTTTCTTGCAAGAGCTGAGTCTGCTGGTGCTTAACACTCGCCCGTACAAAGAGCATTATGTTTGTTATGGCAGTAATTCAGAGAGTCACTTTGCTTAGGAGATAAATAAGCAGGGAAGTTTCATTTGTACAGGTGCAATAGTTTTGTATTTGGAGAATGTAAGACGAATTCAGGTCACTATTCTGCTAAGGGTTTTATCGATGTTTCAACAGCTGAGCTCTTTACTAAATTTCGGCGACAGATAACATAATCTTTTGTCGAGGCTGTAAAGGATATGTTAATCTATCGTCACAGTGATTCATCCGATCTATCATAATTTCTTTGTACTCAAGAAAAGAAACTGAGGCCTCACAACCTATGTTTCATAAAGGAATTATGTCATAAATTCTCTGTAAGCTATACAATTCTAGACAATAGCCTTCTTATCCCTTCACTCTTTCAAATGTGGATTTGATAATAATCAGACCAGAACTCACAAGATAATGCTCTCTAGAGAATTTATATATATATTAATTTAAAAATACCTGCAACTTTAAGTAGTAACATGAGTAG